TGTGCACAACTGTATTTGTTTGTACAGGTGCTAATTGGCATGTGAGTTCACAAGCGTGACATCATGCACATTGTTTTGTTTGCTTTCATGGCATGTTCTCTTCTTGATGAATTTGCCACTCTGCTAATGCGCAATCATGCTACAGTCCATTTCAAAACTATAGACGCGTACCTAGGCAAAAACCGTTATGTCAGCATCTATACCACATAAAATCTGTGATCACTTTGTGCATAATTTTTTCAAAATTGGGCGTCTGTTATCCAATCCTTTAGAAACTATAATATGAGAGTAATTGTGGAGCGATCCTGAGCAATATTCCGAAAACTATTCTCAAAAAGTTCCAGCCAAATTTGAAATATTTCAAAACCCCTACGCGTCTATAGTTTTGAAATGCCCTGTAGTCTCCCCCTAGGCATGTCCCTACCAGTCCTCAATGTGACTAGCGTACACGTAGTTACACGGAGCATTTCACCAGAACAGCTCGTTGCCACTGCGAGCGGACACTGCATTACAGCTGTCGGCTTGCTGTGCGTCATTTGGCCTAACGCCATGGGAAAGGTCGCAGCCTGTCGCCCTCGGCGTCTTGGTGTAGTTATTTCAATCTATACTGGTGCTTGCTGTCTGCTTTCACAGCTGATGAAACGCAATCGCAAGGACTACATCATTGACATCAGCAAGAAGCACTCGTTGGTCAGCCAGTTCACCAGCTTTGTCGCCATTGAAGAGCGTGAGAAGGTATGTGACGTGAGAGAGACCGACGTGGCAACTGCCCTACATGCAGTTCTTGCACATACATTGTTCTGTATTATCCATGGTAAACGAAGGCCCACCTCATCATCAACTCCCTCCCACTAACTGGAGATCAGCTCTAGCAGGTCTAGCAGGTATTGGATGCGTAGCTTCCCCCCCCCCCCCCACACTCCCCTCTCTGCCTTGCTCTCTCCTCTCTCTTCCCCTTTCGAACACCCCCCCCCCCCCGTCATGTTCCTCTAAGAGACACAATGTCATAATTCCAGTTTTGGTTCTTTCCATGTACACAAGCTTGTCGCACTTTTAAAAAGCTCATCATTTGCAATACAGGCACAGTGAAACCTGTCTAAGACGACCGCTCAAGGGACCTTCAAGTCGTGGTCTCTGTTACCAGGTGGTCTCCGTATCCAGGGTCGTCTGACTGGAAATAGAATCCCTTGGTCGTGGTTTCAGTGGTCTTCTCGGACAAGTGGTCGCCTTATCCAAGTGGTCGCCTTGACAGGTTCTACTGGACAGTGTTGGCACCGGGCAATACGGCAGCTTACAGGCCTTCCCTGAAGAAAATCGTAATTTCGAGCCTGAATCATAATACCACTGTACTGAAAACAGAGAGGTTCCAGGCTGCCCAAGAGAGTGCTCAATCCTGAGAGGCAGAGCTGGTTCAAACAATAAGAGGACAGAGGAATGCACTGATCAGTGGTGTACCGGAGCACAAAACGTGGTACGGTCAATAACGTAGTGACAGTAGCGTATCTGCTGCCCCTGCACCCGCATTGGAAATTGGTTGGTGCCTCCTTTGACACGCTGGTTGAACATGTACATGTACCGTACAACCTGTAACTAAAGACCACCGTGACTAGCGACCAGCCTGGTACTACAGTAAAACCTGTAACTAAAGACCACCGTGACTAGCGACCAGCCTGGTACTACAGACCACTTCGCCAGGCACGGACGGTCTCACATTCATAATATGGTTGTGCAGTGCAAACCGCTAACTAAAGACCACCTGCCACTAAAGACCGCTTTCTCTGGCGCCAAGGGCCGGGTGGTCTTTAGTCGCAGGTTTTACTGTATGGTTGTGCGGTGCAAACCTCTAACTAAGGACCACCTGCCATTAAAGACCGCTTTCTTTGGCCCCAAGGTTTGGTTGTTAGTCACAAGTTTTACTGTACATACATGACGCCCAAGTGCAGCATTCAAACTGTGATGCTCTCAACGTCATCTGCTCTCTGCCCACTGCCCAGGGAGAGAAGTTTGACAGCACCACCGGGCCCAGCATAGCTGGTTTGGTGTTTGCAGAGGATGTAGACAGTCTCGGATATCTGTCATTCAAGGAAGATTTGAAGCTAGCAGAGAAAGACGAATCTGAGTCATTCGGTGAGTGAATATAGTATAGGAGAACTGGAAAACTTGGATGCAGTGAGTGGGATGTTCGGTCTTTGACCACTTGCTGGTGAGCTGATCTACTCGCCTCCCACCGCCTTAGGAGCTGCATCTGCGCCTTGATCCTTGAAGGGTGGTGGTGTTCCTGCAGATGCGGAAAACTCGGCCTCTAGCAGAGTCTGCCGCGAACCATGAAAAAAAGAAAAAAAGAACTGGAAAATACTATACATTTCTAAGTTACTCGGCTTTCGCCTTGTTGAGCACTCTCAGTAGGCTGCTCTAGTGCTGCTGCATCGCGCAATGCCCGCTACATTTTGTAGTTTGAGCACTCTGGCGCTAGAGCGACGAGCTACCTTAATGTCTGTGGTGCCTCCTTTGCACCATGGCTGGTAGCTCGGCCTATTTAGCTCGTAGCTGTACTGATGAGACCTTTATGGCCGAAACAGCTTGCTGTCTACAGCATTGGGTACATTTCTAAGTTATCCGTTTTGTCCAACACTAACGGTTATAAGCAGAATACTGTTGAGCCAAAAATGTGCAACAATAGGCACAAAAACTGAAAAACTGATAGTATTCTGCTCATACGCGTTAGTGTTGGACAAAACGGATAACTTGTAAGCTTATTGTCGTCTTTTTTTTTAATTTTAATCCTTGGCTCTCCATCCGAGTTAAAAATGCTATACAGCAAAATCTTTTTCTTTGTTACAGCAGACATTTCCCGTATTTTCAAGAGTAAAAGCCTCACTGGTGTATAAGCCACCCCCCCCCCTCCCCCCCTTTCCACGAAATACAGACATCTACCCTATTCATCATTGTCAATTTGAGCATCGGAGTAAAAGGGGTCATCCGTAAATACCGATATTTATTTGGAAACGAAAACTAGTCATTTCTCTTCAACAACCCTCCCCCCCCCCCCCACAGAAACGAACACATAGAAACGATGCATAGTATCGATTTTTTTCGATATTTTTCTGGACGTGCCCGCACATACAAACTGTGCATCGATAGTTTTCGAGAAACGAACAGGCGCTCAACCCCCCCCCCCCCCTAAACGACTAGTTTTCGTTTCTAAATAAATATCTATATTTACGGATGGCCCCTAAGCCGCGCCCCTCCCTTTTTTGGGGCGAATTTTCAGTGTTTAAAGTGTGGCTTATACTCCGGAAAATTCGGTATTCTCCGTCGCAGCAGAAACCTACCCTTTGGCCCAGAAGACAATTGCCACAATTTGTTGCAGTGGATGTTTGCTCTTTGTCGCAGCAGAGATTTGCACGTGGGCAAAAGTTTTGAAAGCCCTCATGTATACACATAGAACGTTTTCTTCAGACTTTCCCGTTTGCATTGTTCCCTCTAAGCAATGAGTAGACACGTAGAACGGAAATAGTCAATAATCTAAAAAGATTGTTGCAATAAAAATAAGAATGATATGAACACAATCATCCGCAGTCTCTGAATAGCACTTACCGTATAGTAGGAAATTTTCGGACGGAATATATTTTCGGACGATTTCGTACACTGCCTCTTTGGTACTAAAAATAATATTAATTTTAGTACAACAGAGGCAGTGTACGGAACTAAAGTTCCATACTAAAATTTGTTCATGTGAACAAATTTTTTACACTATCGTACTGCTTGCGAACACGTGCATTTAGCATGCAGCGCTGCACGAAAATGAAGTCTGTACGAAAGGTCGAGATTCGGCTTTGTCCGAAAATACTTCTGTCCGAAAATTTCCTGCTACACTATACTGTATCTGATTCAAATGTTGTCTTATGGTACGGCTGTCTTTCGATTTCGATCAAGACAACGAATGGCCAATTAGGATCCTATAGTAGATTGTACTCAAATTCTTCACTTGTAAGACTCGGGTGGAGAGCCAATGATGAATTATTTATACCGGGAAAAAGTCAGGACCAAGGAACTGCAAAGGAACTAATCGCATGAGCTGATTGTAAAGCAACTGGTGGCGTTAGTGGACATAACTTGTACTTCATTGGCCCTCGCTCCTTCGCTTGTTGTTGAAGATATGAATACTGTATGTCTGAGCCAATCGCACGCTCTTTCTATTGCCGTGCGAACATGTTTTTAACTGTTTGCCTGATTCCATGTTGTTGTTTCTCGTTCCTGTTAAGTCCTGCCTGAAAAGTGTGATCTGGAAACGTACGAAGAGTGTGATCTGGAAACGTACGAAGAGTGTGATCTGGAAACGTACGAAGAGCAGGCAGAGCTGCCACCGCGTCTTTACGGTTTCGTAAGTATAAGTATGGTTATTGAAATGTGGGTGTGGGTGTGGGTGTGTGAGTGTGTGCGCGTGTGCGCGTATGTGTGCGTGTGTGTGTGTGTGCCGGGACGGATACCCTGATGCCGTCAATCCTTTTCTGCACCTTGTCCTCACCCACTTACTGAGGTGTGGTGAGCCCATAAGTGGGATCATTTCAAGTCCACCCTAGTTTGGGGGATTTCAGGGGGTGTCGGCCGTTGGGTGGTTCAATGGCCAATTGAGTCATCTTTCCAAGATTCCTTTTGAGTCTCTCTCCCCTCTCCCGGGGATACCCACGTGACCAGTTTTGGCAGTGATCAAGTACAAGCAAGTACAAGTACAAGTGTGTGTGCTAGCGTGAATATATTAATGCATGCGCACATGTGTGTGTGTGTGTGTGTGTGTGTGTGTGTGTGTGTGTGTGTGCGTGCGTGTGTGCGTGTGCATGCGCGTGCAGGTCCGTGTGTGTGTATACTTCCGTCTGTGCGCATTCTTGTTGCCCTGCTTTGGTTTTGGCATCATTTGATCGCTGAATCACAACAATTGTACTCCTGAATTAGAGCCGTGTCTCGACTGGTGCCATGTTTTGAGGAGCCAATGGAAAACTCTGGTCTGCTTACGAGCAGTGGCCTTATCATCACCAGCATGTGCAGATCTGGTTTTTTCACGCGTCATCTTGTCCGCGTCATCATGTTCGTATATTCATAATCTGCATCGCATGTGATCTGGGTTTGAGGGCTTTTGTAGTCGTCTTGGTTTGGCCTGGCTTCTCCAAGGGCGGTACCGCTTGGCACAAACAAAGTGCCAGAAAAGCCAGTATCCATCCGCTGTCTCTGTCTAGCTGTGCTCTGTTTCTGTTTGTCTGTCAATCCGTTACCTCTGTTTGTCTATCTGCTACCTCTATCTGTCTACCCTCTGTTTCTGTGTGTTTGTCCATCCACTGCCTCTGTTTGTCCATCCTCTGTTTCTGTGTGTTTGTCCATCCACTGCCTCTGTTTGTCCATCCTCTGTTTCTGTGTGTTTGTCCATCCACTGCCTCTGTTTGTCCAGCCTCTGTTTCTGTGTGTTTGTCCATCATCTGTTTCTGTGTGTTTGTCCATCCACTGCCTCTGTTTGTCCATCCGCTGTCTCTGTCTATCCGTTCTCTGTTTCTGTTTGTTCGTCCGTCCGCTGTTTCTGCTTGCCTGTCTCTCTGTTGTAAAGAATGTTGGCTTGAGTGTCGTGCCTATTCCTAACCGGGAACTTGCTGCGTTTGCTGTTTTCTTTCAACAGGGTGTGGAGGAGGAAATGTATATGAGCTGTGACAATACAGAGCTGAACAGAGCGTCCATGAGAAGCCGCTCCAGGAGTCCAGTGTATCAACGTCTTTCCTTACAGGTACAGTCAGACCTCGCTTAACCGCACACATCCGTTTTCCACAAAAAGATATCCGGATAGGCGAGGGAACCCGATAATCGAACACACATACTGTATGCATGCATGGCATATGCTGTAAATTGGTAGCCAACGGTTTTCGTCCGGACGGCAAGGGATCCGGATGAAAGAGGACCGGATGAAAGGGGACCGGATAAGCGAGGTCTGACTGTGCAGTCGTCCCTCTCTAATCCGGCACCTTTTTGCAACGGCATTTTCTGCTGGATAAACAAGGGTGCTGGATTATCAAATCCTGCCCTCCAACCTGGCCCACCTACATTTGTATTAACATACATGTTTGTGTCGTACGTCAAAACGTAGCAATTTTCTGTGTCAATCCAAGTACTTTGTGGAATGCATGTCTATAACATACACTTGGGAATATCCTATGCACTAGCATAGGATATTCCCGAGTGTATGTTACATGTGTTGTGTATGTTACAATGCTCCCTTACGGTATGCGATGTACAACTGCTGGATTAGAAAATCGAATTCTGCACAGTTTGAGTGATTTGTTGCAGAAAATCGCTGCTGCAGGCGGAATTCAACTGCCGGATTAAAGCGTAGAAAATGAACTGAAAAAATCCGTTTTTCCAGAAAGTGTGCTGGTTTGCAAGGGTGCTGGATAAACAAGTGCCGGGGGATTAGAGAGGGACGACTGTACTACCATAGTCGTAATGCTTTCTGTCCGAACGCGATTAAATACCGTATTTCCCCGATTATACGTCGCACTCGATTGTAAGACGCATCCCATTTTGCAGATTTGAGCAATATTGCTGCGATATATTCACTTCAGTAGTAGTTCATGCTAGATTGTAAGTCGCACCCACTTTTTTACCCTTGATTTCAAAAAGTGGGGCTAATATTCGTCTAAGTATGATATCCTGTATTCAATAGTAAAAGCCACTCCTTTCTCCGGTCTCCATACGTGGTCCCCAAGACATCTCTTGACATAGCTGCATCCTCTTTCGCTCTGAAAAAGCTGTATACATATACAAAGAGTGAAATAGCCTGTTCCTGTCCTGCCGGAGCAAACCATGACCCATGCCACGTCCCGAAGCCAGTACTCCCCTTCGAGTCGTGCCGCTTGGGGACCCGTAGCCAGTTGTGGCAGTGGGCGAAGGAAGGAAGGTGCGCGTCCGTGTGTGTGTGTGTGTGTGTGCGCGCGTGCATGTGTTTGTGTGTGTATGTGTGAGTGTGTGTGTGTGTGTGTGTGTGTGTGTGTGTGTGTGTGTGTGTGTGTGTGTGTGTGTGTGTGTGTGTGTGTGTGTGTGTGTGTGTGTGTGTGTGCATGCGTGCCTGTGTGTGTGCGTGCGCACATTTGCTTCGAAACAGAGTAAAGTATAAATGGCTGCTGCGTCAAAATGTGTAAATTTTTTGGAAAATAATCCAGGATGCTTTATGTTTTTACTGAAATTTTTCATTGAAATCCGCTAGGAAATTTTGCTGATGCAAACTGAAGTATTTTGTTGATGTTTGTTCCGGTGCATGGGAATTTTGCTGGCGCATGTGTCGGGGTGAGTTCAGTCCCTGGCTGCTTCTCACCGGCTATGGCTGGGGGTTCTGTATTTGCTTGTTGCCATGCAGAGCTCTCTGAATCAACCGGCGGCCTACGATGATGATCTCCTTCTTGATGGTTTTATGTGTGACGACGAAGAGATGGAAATGGAGCAGCTTGCGCAACCGGAGAATGTCCTGTCTGGATCAGCGGAGATGCAGGATATGCCCGTTGCCGTCGGACAACAGGAGAAGGCAATGTTGCAGAGAATACCATCGTTGAGCGATTCGCACCAGGTCTCACTGGAAAAAAAGAAGAAGAAAAAGAAGAAGAAGACCTCTGTGAACAATGAAAAGGTCAGCAGTTTCCTTCCATTCATTGGAAACTGGCCGGCTAGGTTGCTGAGAAAATACGTAATGCAACGTTTTGAGAAATTGCATTGCAAACAATTGGAGCACAGTGGACTTTGATCTTGATGATCTCTCTGTGTTTCTTTCGCACCAGGTCTCACTGGAAAAAAAGAAGAAGAAAAAGAAGAAGAAGACCTCTGTGAACAATGAAAAGGTCAGCAGTTTCCTTCCATTCATTGGAAACTGGCCGGCTAGGTTGCTGAGAAAATACGTAATGCAACGTTTTGAGAAATTGCATTGCAAACAATTGGAGCACAGTGGACTTTGATCTTGATGATCTCTCTGTGTTTCTTTGTCTAATAACCCCTACCCCATACACCAACCCCTTCTCCCATACACCAGCCCCTACCCCCGTACACCAACCCCTGCCCCCCCCCCCCGTGCACCAACCCCTACCCCGTACACTAACCCCTTCCCCCATACACCAATCCCTTCCCCCGTACACCGACCCCTACCCCCGTACACCGACCCCTACCCCCATACACCAACCGCTACCCCGGTACACCAACCCGTACCCCAGTACACCAACCCCTAACCCATACACCAACTTCTACCCCGTACTCCCAGGTATTTGTATCATGTCCCGCACACCAACCCTTACACCCCCTGGCCCGCACACCAACCCTTACACCCCCTGGCCCGCACACCAAGCCTTACACTCCCTGGCCCGCACACCAAGCCCTTGTACCCTGAAGAATAAACAGTAGACACTGTAAAGCCATTATACTAACGAGGCGCATACAATTATAACGATTTCCCAAAATTGACTAGTTAACGAATACCAAAGGTAACGATTCTCACTCATTTTCGACGCTCAACACGACAGTATATGTATCGATTTCTGTATAACGATTTCAATTTTAATGACAGATTTCTCCTCGTTAACTCGTTAGAGTTAGCACTTCGTTATTATGCATGGCTTTTGCAGTATTACGTTTCTAGAAGTAGTGCATGCTGACTTGAAAACTGTTTCCATTGTCTTTCTGTCATGTCTCAGTTTCACATTTTGGAAGACAGCATGGACCTCAGTTCTGCCGGTAGCACGGAAAGTGCACGTCACTCCCGCACTACCGGGTCAGCTATGGCAGCGCCGCAATCCACCGCTCTCGAATCTGAGTGTGGACACGTCTCAGCGGAGGCAGCAGCTGCGGCCGATGAGTTCTGGTCCGAACAAGCACCCTTGCGTGTGGCATCAGCCATGACCATGCCATCACGAGCTGAGTCTGAACCCCAGGTTATGGATGACCTTGCCTGCCTGGAAAAAAAGAAAGGAAATGTTAAGTCCCGGTTTCGCTCAGTCGGTAGACCACGAAGGTACAGTAATGGATAATGATTATCATACAGAATTGCACACTTATTCAGAGAGAGAGAGAGAAAGTGTTCTCAGGTAATACACTGTAATCTAGCCTGAAACTAATCCACAGGGAACTGATCTGCGGAGAGCTGGTCTTAATCGGCAAGAAAACTAATCCGTAGAAAACTACAAGTAGAAAGGCAGCAGCTTTTATAGGGTGAGTAAGTAAGCTAGCCTATGGTCAGGGGATACGTAGAGCAGAGAGAAGTAAGGAGAAAAGGTCAAACTACAAGGTACATGATTGTGTGGGCAGAAGAATGGGAAAGGTCGGGACATGGCACCTGTGCAAGAGGAATACGTTGTAGAGGAATAACTGAATAGAAGGGTGTACAATACATCGTATACATGTAGGCGTGCAATAATACCAGGAGGACAACTGTTGAAAGGGGCATTAGGATGTATGGACAGCTGTTAGTGTAGATAACTAAAAGTGCGGCTGAAAGTGAAATGCATCAAAAGGTCTCCAGTGTGCTATCTAAGGTCAACCTCGAAAGTGAGTGGGAACAATACATGAATACAGCGCATAGTATAGTATTAGTAGTGCATGTAAAAGAGGATAGAAGGTGAGGCTGGTGTAACAAGTCAAGTACATGTGCATGTCATAATAATGTATGTATTCCTATCTAACAGAGAGAAGAAAAAGATGGCTGTAACAGACGAAACTGGACCGGAAGCTGGTGAGTGTATATTTTCCCGTTGCTTAGATGCGAAAAGGGTATCCATAGTCTTTGCCTTTCGCCACCGCTGTCCAAGCCAACGTCTTGCTACCCCCCCCCCCCCCCCCCCACACACACAGCATGCGTACATACACCCATACCTCGGTTATCCTCCGGACACCAAAGTTACGGGCACTTCGGTCTACCGGGCACCCTTAGGGCGAGTTTCAGTGGAAATATTACTACTCTTTTTGTCACTTTTTCTGGGAAAAATGATGTCATATGCCATATCTATGGCCTCTCTCCATCAAAATGTAAATGTATGTGATTCGGAGTTAGGGATATTTCAACGTTACAGCCAGTGCCCAGTCCCGACTGCCTGGATAAGCCAGGTATGAGTGTACTTGCATGCATATGCATACATAAAATTAATGCTCACGCAAACACACAATGCAAACATTTGCCATCCTCTTCCTGCACACACATGCACTTGCATATGCATGCGTGCCCATACACATATGCACACGGACATACACGCCCGCCCGCACGCCCGCCCGCACGCACGCACACACACACACACACACGCACGCGCACACACACACACACACACACACACACACACACATACATTATATATACTGCATATACGAAGCACATTAAATGCCTAAACTAATAATGTACCTGATGGGGTGCCATTTTTTGTGAATAGACCTCAAATGTCCGCCTCTTCTCACCGTGTGTGTGTGTTTGTGTATGTATGTATGTATGTATGTATGTATGTATGTATGTATGTATGTGTGTGTGTCTTTGTGTATGTATGTGTGTTTATATGTGCGCACATGCGTTTGTGCGTACGTGCGTGCATGCACATCTATTCCGCACATGGTGCATTGACCTTTCTACTGTGTTATGCCATCTGTCACCACCAGGACATCAACTCGACATGCCCATTGCGGCTGGAAGACTTCGTGACCGTGCTACCATGAAGTCGACTGTACATTTGTTTGCGCTGGCTGCACCAGCTGAGTCCCCCACCTTACCTTCCTACTCCCCGACATCACCTTCGTACTCCCCAACTTCACCTTCATACTCCCCAACTTCACCTTCCTACTCCCCGACATCACCTTCCTACTCCCCGACATCACCTTCGTACTCCCCAACTTCACCTTCGTACTCCCCCACCGCATCAACCTACTCCCCCACCGCACCCTCCTACTCCCCCACCGCACCTTCGTACTCCCCCACCTCACCCTCGTACTCCCCCACATCACCGCCCCGCCCATCCTCAAAGTCGACTGTCCCTCCAGCTGCCCTGACCGCAGCGTTCAACGCAGCATCTAACGTCTTCAAGCTGAACACCTTGAGCTCCGCAACCTCACCGCCGTACTGCCCAACCGTACCGTCCCTGTCCCGTCCATCCTTACCCGCGCGTGTACACTCGGCTGCTCTGGGAGCATCGTTCGCAGAGGAATGCGTCCAGATGACACCTGTGGACTCCGCACGTTTACATTCGTATTCCCGTCCACCAGTTGCGTACTCACCAGCTGCTTCCAGCCAAGCGCTCTCCAATCCTAGAAGCGCAGACGTACCAACTGCGCCAACTGGTCTGTTCTTTAATCAGGAAAAGGGGAAGGCAATTCCACACCAGCACCAGGGCATGCCGCAGCCACAGATGCAGCAACCGATGCAGCAACAGATGCAGCAACCGATGCAGCAACAGATGCAGCAACATATGCAGCAACCGATGCAGCAACAGATGGAGCAACATATGCAGCAACCGATGCAGCAACCGGTGCAGCAACCGATGCAGCAACAGATGCAGCAACATATGCAGCAACAGATGCAGCAGCAACGAGTGCAACAGCAGGTGCAGCAGCAGCAGATTCATAAACACCAGCAAAATCAACGTCTCTACCAGTTGCAGCAGCAGCAACAGCAGCAGCAGCAGAAGCAGCAGCAGCAACAGCAGCAGCAGCAGACGCAGCAGCAACAGCAACAGCAGCAGCAGAAGAAGCAGCAGCAGCAACAACAACTACAACTACAACAACAAAAAGTACAAGAGCTGCTGCTGCTGTCAGCTGCTGATCGTCAGCAGGAGGGTCAACAGGAGCAGCAGCAGCAGAAGCTGCAGCTAGAAGAGCAGAGTGCGATCCAGGCCCTGGATCACTACTTGAGTTCGTTAACCAGCGAAAGTACGTTGCGTTCTGTCTTTGCTGACATGTGCGTGTAACAGTAATGGGGTAAGAACCTGGGAAATGGGATCCCCCCCCCCCCCATGACCCTTTCAGACCTGCCCCTTGATAGTGGGAGTCCCCAGCCTGATCAGACCTTAGACGAGGCATCAGTCTTTCACACCTTTTGGGTCACTGATGCCTCAAATCAGGCATAGCCAGAGATGAAAAGAGCCAGGAATTGGAACATAGCAGCGACGGTGATTGAAGCGGCGTTCCAATTCGACCTCTTATGACCAATAAAAACAGATTTAAAGTGGTACTCTGGTCGACCCACAACCGGGGTTTATTAACAGGTATTGATCATGTTGTAAATCAACTAAATTTCCCTTGCAATTTAATTTCACCGATTTCGCCGCTTGGTACCTACCGACCAAAGTGAATCGCAGGCCAAAGTTTGTCAAATAGGCACATAATGCATAATTGAACCATGGCTACATGTAAGAGCAACAACTGCCCATCGATTTCTGTTTTGAAAACCGCAATCGGCCAAAGTTCAATGACGGCCAAAAGTTTCATTTCGAGATCGGCCAAAGTTTCTCACCGGCCGAAATTTGTTGGTTTACACTATTGATATTGAACCGGTAAATCAACAACAACTAGCGGTAGATCGACACATCCTGAACCAGATGAACTGTGAATGAAACTAAATGAAAACAGCATTCACACTTGGCCATACTTCTGCCAGAAAAGGCGCAATGATGAATTTCCGCCATGAGTCTATTGTGGCTCAAGACAGGGTTTGGAAGCGCTTGTTTATGTTTTAAGAGAAACACACAAGCGCGCATACACACACTTGTGCACACACACACGCACACGCACAATCGTACACACTTACAGAGACCTGCACACACACCTACACACGCGCACGCACACGCGCGCCCACACACGTACACATTCTGCACTGCGTTACTTGCCCCCCTGGACAACTTCACTGTGGTTCTCTGTGGCCATGTGGCTCTACGTTTCGCATCCTTTTTTTATTTTTACTTTTTTACTGGGAACACAGCCCTACAAAGGGATATGTGGAGACAAACACAAAACAAGACACGGGGGATGTAAGGAAGACGAGCCGATGTACAGGGAGCAACTCGACCCACCAGAGGTCTCGGCGTTAGCGTTGCAACAGGGCATCGAAAAAGGGGGGGGGGGGTTGCATGGTCCAGTAGCAAAATATTAATTTGGTGCGAGAAAGGGGTGCTGATATTGCACCGAATAATATAAATACATGTAATAACTAAACCGGAACAGAAAAAGAAAACAAGAATCGTAACAAGCAAAGTACTAGTAGAAAGGTCCTGTGCAGCCGTGTCATTCATGCCAGTCCTCCCCCCCCCCCCCTGCCCTCTCTTGTCTTGTTCCAGCTGCAGCTGTCTCTGCTGCTCCAGTTGACGCACTTGACAAGTCCAGGCCCTCCAGAAGGCCGCCGACGGCCTTTGCTATGCGTGAGTGAAGGGTGTTTTAACATCCTGTCTTTTCTTGTTTGTGAGTGCCATGAGTTGCTCGATACTCAGTAAACTCTGCTGGGGGAGTGCAGATGCAGTGATCCCCGTCTAAGCCGACTGCTCAAGAGACGTTACAAACGTGGTCCCGCATGCAGGTGGTCTCCGTATCCCCGCAATTTGACTGGCAATGAGATACCTTGGTCCTGGGTCCTCTTGGCCAGGTGGTCGCCTTTTCAGAGTGGTCAGCTTGACGGATGTTACTGTACAGTAATAGTACCCCAACCCGGGCACCCCACAACCCGGGCACCCCACAACCCGGGCACCCCACAACCCGGGCACCCCACAACCCGGGCACCCCACAACCCGCGCACCCCACAACCCGGGCACCCCACAACCCGGGCACCCCACAACCCGGGCACCCCACAACCCGGGCACCCCACAACCCGGGCACCCCACAACCCGGGCACCCCACAACCCGGGCACCCCACAACCCGGGCACCCCACAACTCGGGCACCCCACAACCCGGGCACCCCACAACCCGGGCACCCCACAACCCGGGCACCCCACAATCCGGGCACCCCACAACCCGGGCACCCCACAACCCGGGCACCCCACAACCCGGGCACCCCACAACCCGGGCACCCCACAACCCGGGCACCCCACAACCCGGGCACCCCACAATCCGGGCACCCCACAACCCGGGCACCCCACAACCCGGGCACCCCACAACCCGGGCACCCCACAACCCGGGCACCCCACAACCCGGGCACCCACAACCCGGGCACCCCACAACCCGGGCACCCCACAACCCGGGCACCCCACAATCCGGGCACCCCACAATCCGGGCACCCCACAACCCGGGCATCCCACAACCCGGGCACCCCACAATCCAGGCACCCCACAATCCGGGCACGGCAGTCTACCAGGCTCCTTTCCGACCCATCTTGAGTTTCGACATTGGCTTTTCAGCGAAATACGACCCCGAAAAACTATTGATTGGCATAAAGAAATGTTTCCTTGTATGCAGTAAGTATGTATGTTCTGAGCCACAGGCAATTCCTAGTTACCGGCCGGCAGTACTGGGGCCCCAACCTGTCTGGATTTGAGGACTTTTACTGTACTTACAAAACTCAGTGCTAGCATAACAGGTGACGTAAGCAGATTACTACCAGTTGGATCGCAAAACACCTAAGCATAAAACATGGCTGCAGCCGTTTTGCGGGGCAACTTGTCCCATGTTTGGCACGTACAGCCAGCTCTAGTACGTTCGTGAGTATAGCCGCACACAGAGTTCATGACCTTTTTTTGCAGGGCTGGTATCACAGTGTGTTCGGCTGAAGTGGACTTGCCGCGCAAAACCAAACGTCGGGAAGATTATGCATAGCTGCAGTTGTATTGTATGTACCAACCCGGGCTAGTTTCCCAACAGTAACTACAGTCAAACATCATTAGGACGAACTTGAAGGGACCGAGCAAGTTTGTTTGCCTTATCGGAAGTTCTTCTTATCCAGATCTGACAAAAACTTGATATGCATGCAGCTGAAGGGAGTTTTCCTTCTGATATGCATATCATAATATGATTATGGATTGTATTTATGTGGAGGTGCATGCTGTGGCAAATGTAAAACTTTTTTTTTCCAGAACATAGCCCAGCAACAGGTAAGTATACGATGTTCAATGAATTCATGACAGCATGTCCTCCGCCTTGTAACATGTTTTGCCAAAAAAATACTTCAAAAAGGCCTTGACTATCGGAAAAAAAACTACAGCCAGCGCGCCCACGGGGACCGGAAATTCATACTACATGCTGATTTTGTTCAAATCATGCTTGACATTACAGCTTGACATTACAGCTTGACATTACAGCTTGACATTACAGCTTGACATTACAGCTTGACATTACAGCTTGACATTACAGCTTGACACTACAGCTTGACATTACAGCTTGACATTACAGCTTGACATTACAGCTTGACATTACAGCTTGACATTACAGCTTGACATTACAGCTTGACATTACAGCTTGACATTACAGCTTGACATTACAGCTTGACATTACAGCTTGACATTACAGCTTGACATTACAGCGAAACCTGTCTAAGACGTCCGCTCAAGGGACCTTCAAAATGTGGTCTCTGATACCGGCTGGTCGCCTTATCCAGGGTAATTTGACTGGAAATAGCATCCCCTGGTCCTAGTTGCGGTGGTCTTCCAGGGCAGGTGGTCGCCTTATCCGAGTGGTCGCCTTGACAGGTTTTACTGTAGTTCGTCTTCACGAAAGTTCGCCGTACAGGAGTTCGTCCTAAACGAGTAATTTTGACTTGATATGATGCCTGGCCGACCCTAGGATTGGCCCTAGTTCGTACTAAAGGAAAGTTCGCCTTATCAGTGTTCGTCCTAATGAGGTTTGACTGTAGGTGTAGCATTGCTCTGTTGTCCTCGGCATTGCCGTTTTACCAGTTGGTTTGGAAGGGACAACGTTGTGAGCGATCGATCAGTGGGCCTCTTCGCTGGTTCTACACATCCATGTACAATATCCAGTGTCACTACTGTCGGGTGGTCCGCGATACGTTTTGAATGTGTTGCTGAGCTTCTTGCCCGTTTACTGGTCATGACAAACCTTCAGACATGTGAATGTGAATGTGCATGTGCACACGATATACGGAGTACAAGTAGCAAAGGCGTAGGGTGCACGGTTGCTGGTGATTGGGTGCGTGAGCGGTTCGCAGAGGGTGTCTTCTACGATTATGCCGGGGCTGACGTGCCAGGCCATACGTGCTGCATTGTATTTCCTATGCTCTGCGTTGTTTCTGCAGTTCGTAAGAGAAAAATGTATGAATCGTCTGCGAGGTCCAAGCTGGTAGACGCATCAGTAGACCGTAAGTGCTGCGTATGATCTACTACACCCTTACCTCGTTTATCCGGGCGGTCCGGGACCAAGCACTGCCCACAACTTGGAAATGTCGATAACTCCGATTCGTATACGTTTTGTCGTTTTGTGTGGAAATGGTGACATCGTAATCACGTTCCATATCTATCAAAAGAGTAGTAATATTTCCACTAGAACTCGCCCAAAGGGTGCTCAGTAGACCGAGGGTGCCCGTAACTTCGGTGTCTGGATAACTGAGATATGAGGGTGTCTGTATGTCACCTGCCCATAGTGTTAGGTTCTCATCTTCGGTACTTTGTTCCCCCATACATATTACCCCGCTGGCCTGCACTCCATACACATGGCTTTCCCCGTTCCCGTAAGGCACCTTATTATTTCTTTGGCATGGGTAGCTCCTTACGCTCCGATAGTTGCCATAGCTACCCAATCCCGTCATCTAGCTTTCTCTCCCCCCCCCCCACATCTCTCTCTCTCTCCCCCCCCCCTCTCTCTCTCTCTCTCTCTCTTCCCCCCCCCCTCTCTCTCTCTCTCTCTCTCTCTCCTCTCTCTCTCTCTCTCCTCTCTCTCTCTCTCTCTCTCTCTCTCTCTCTCTCTCTCTCTCTCTCTCTCTCTCTCTCTCTCTCTCTCTCTCTCTCTCTCTCTCTGTCTGTCTCTCTCTCTCTCTCTCTCTCTCTCTCTCTCTCTCTCTCTCTCTCTCTCTCTCTCTCTCTCTCTCTCTCTCTCTCTCTACCTCTGTCTCTCTCTCTGTCTCTCTCTCTCTCTCTCTCTCTCTCTCTCTGTCTCTCTCTCTCTCTCTGTCTCTCTCTCTCTCCCTGTCTCTGTCTCTCTCTGTCTCTCTGTCTCTCTGTCTCTCTGTCTCTCTGTCTGTCTCTCTCTCTCTCTCTCTCTCTCTCTCTCTCTCTCTCTCTCTCTCTCTCTCTCTCTCTCTCTCTCTCACGCATGCACGCACGCACGCACACATGCACACACGCATGTACGCACGCACGCACACGTACACTCTCTGTCTATGTCTCTGCCTGTCTCTCTCTGTCTGTCTCTGTCTCTGTCTCTCTCTCTCACTCCTCCCCTCCCCCCCCCCTCTTGTGCTCTTTTTATCATTATGTGTAGCCGTCGTCTTTCTGTCTCTCCCCTCGCCCTTCCCCCAAACGAATGTCTTCCCCGAGATACCTTGTCACTGGTATACTGTGTGAGTGTGGATCAATGGGATCA